CAAAACAAAACAAAAAGTTTTCTTGACTACTGAATACATTTGTACTTTGAAGATGATGATTTCAAGGCATGGAGTTTTTGTAATGGGCAGGCACTTTATGGAATGTGGGCATATCAGTGAGCAAGCTAAGTTTCTTGAGTTTTGGGGTTTTTTTTTTCTTTTGGTGGAAAGGTGGTTAGGTGTCTGTATGTTTCCTTAATAAAAAGATGTTCCCTCACGTAACTGCTAATATAACTAATACTATGCTCAATTATTTTTTTTTTACAGGGTCTATATTTACGTGCCTAACAGTAGCTCTGGGATTTTATCGCCTATGGATATAATAAAGTATCTATTTAAAGAGATTTCTATTGTTTTGCCTTAATACCAAATTGTTGTGCTTTTTTTTCCTCGTTTTAAATGTTAACCCCAGTTTTTATTTGATGAATATTATTTATTTTATGCAAATCATGGACGTAACCAAGGCAAAGAAGTCAGGAATTTCATAATTGCTCCTTTCGTCTTTTCTGTTTAGTTGACTTTATAACACTGAGAGGTGGTGGACAAAGCATGGAAGACTCCACTCAGCTGGATCAGTGAACTTGGTCTAAGTTGTGGGACATATCAACAGTAAACATTTGTATAGCTCTGCAATTTTAAATCTTTTGTCACATAGAAGATTTGGGTCTCCATTTAAAAGACACGTTGGCTTCACTAAGTGCTGAAGAATCATTGAAACTAAACCAAGAGCACCAAGTCCTCTTTAGGTACTGACCCAGTCCTTAACATCGCCCCAGCCCCTGTGTTAGAGTATTGTGTTTCAGCTCTAGTTGGTTGGTGTGTTAATGATACAGCTGTGCTTTACATCCAAAGGAGGCCTTTTTCTTTTAATTTCCATTGTCTTAGTAAGTTACTGTTAGGGTTATTTTTTAGATGCCTTCCAGCTAGCCTAATGAAGTGTAATTGTAATGGGGATTCTTTGTACCTCCATACTTCTCTCACTCCCAGCCTCCCTCTCATTTGATCCTTCTTCCTGTCCCTCATGATTTGAGAGCTATAATAATACTCCACTTGTGGCATTGCCTGCCTCGAAAACTTGCTAATTCTCAGCATGATGTCTGCTTCAGTTTGTGGGACAAGGTCTACTTCCTCCTGGTTTTCTTCTGCTTTTTATACAAGGGAGGCAGTCTGTTTTCCTTCTGTAGCAAAATCTAGATGTTTAGATAGTATATGCACTTTGTAAAAAGGTCTTTAATGAATATGTCTTTGCTACACAGATCACAGGCTTTCAAAATGAGAGAACTATCATGCCAAATATCCAAATTTAGGTTGATTTCTTTGGTGGTTAAAGACATTCTCATACCTACCTTACCTCTCTATATTTAAAACAAGTACATTCCTAGAAACAGCTGGGCTTCTTTTGGAGAAGCACATTTTCTTCTTATTTGAATGACAGGCACATGGGAGAAAATAAACATTTTAGAAATTATGGCATTGATAGCACCTTTTCTGTCTTTCTCCACATGCCCACATTACACATAATCTGCTACAGTGGAGAAACCACATGGAGACTTCGCAATCAAGCTGGTGGAATATACCCACCGTCACTGTTCCAGCCACACTGGCAAAAAAGTTGCCTTTTGTCCTTTGGATGTCATTTCTAAACTTTGGAAAGTGTAAGTCGTTGCCTTTTTTGAAAACATTTGTATAGCACAAAGATTCTGAACTTCAAATCAGTATGAAAATCAAGTACTTCTGCATTCATGGTATCAGTTTCAAAGTGAATAATAATTGAATCTTTTTCAACTAGATCCAAAATTATCTTACCTGCTTCATAAAATATTTTATCCATGTGTCCTTCCCCTATCCGAGAAAGGTCCCCAGAAAATACTGCACATTTAACAATTGCCGTAAGTATTAAAGACTGAAGTAAATGAGATCCCATTAAGACCTTATTTGCAACTATTTAATGTAGTTATAACTGGTTAGTAAGAGCTTGGAGAAAGAGCCTAGGAGAAAGACACTCTTCCAAAGTAAAGCATTCCCAAGAGGAGAAAATACTGTATATAATTATGTTTCAAAGCAAACACTAACTTGTATAGGTTAAAAACAGTGAAGTGACCTTACATCCTGATAAAATGTTTTTTTAGATAACATTCAGTCGGGTGACATTCTTTCATCTACCAAAAGTGTTTCAAAGGACATGCCTACTGGTGATGTTGGGCTGCATCAGTCCCTCACTTAATTTGGGTCATTGATTTTGCTGTCGAGTTCTCTGCCCCTACCTTGGGAACAATGAACTTTCCTTTGGATGGAGTGGATTGTATGCATCTGTGGAGGTGAGAAGGGTTAGGGACCATCTTCCCTATGTTTAGTCAAATGTATTCTATTTGAAAAATGTATGAGCCAAAAATCCAAGTTTCCCGTTCCCACTGCTGGCCCAGACATCTGTGAACAGCATAAGCACGCTGTGACTGGACATGGTATGATTATTTCTTGAGGTAGGCAGGATTCAGATCACTTTAGGAAATTAGGCATTAGCACTCAGAAGATGGACGCTGCCTGGAAAAACTTCCAGAAACCTGTGCCTAGCCCGGGGAAATTATCCATAGCTAGAAATTAAACACCCCTCTAGGCACAGATGCCTTAAGGACCAATGGCTAAGCCGAAAGTCAAATGTGACAGAAACTTTGTATTTCCTTTTCATGCACTAATTACTTCTTAAGGGTTCCTCTGCGTTCCTACTTTCTTCTCTCCCCTCCCCTGCCCTTTACTGTTTTTGAAAGAACCTAAACTCTTAATTCCACTTCTTTCCTGCTCCATTAATAAGCAAAACCTATTTGTGTGGATGGTTTTTTAGAGGAAACATGAATTTTGTGCTGGTCTTATTCCTCAGCTGGTTTTCTAGCTTAATTATCTAACCAAACTAAGTCTGAATGTATTCATTTTTTTCCCTTAACTATGCCAAGCACCTTGGTTAAGAAGTCACACGTTTAGGAAGAAAGGCTTGACTCAAAGCAGACACCTTAATTTGTCTCTGAACATTTAAAAACCAAAGTCCTGAGCCACCGTGGACATGACCCTCCCTGCCTGGGTTGTCTGGAGCTTAGCTTGTGCTTGTCCCCCTCTAGCCCCACTTAGTGATGTGGTCTTGCCTCTCACGTTCTGGCCTCCTTTCCAGCCATTCTGCCTGTGAATTAACTACATCACTGTTAGCAAGCTTTTCTCTTCCCCCATCCTAATATGCTGTGTTCTAAGAATTTTGGCATCATTTCTGAACAAATATCTGAGAGCACTAGAGAATTCATGTCTGGCAAACTTTGGCTTTAGCATATGTTTATCAAATCGTGATTTTTCTGACACTAAAGTAAAAATGCGCTAACCACAAATAATTTATTCTTTATATAAAATGTCTGAGAATGTTTAGCCTTTTATTGGAATTTTATTTGGAAAATACCTTTCTACAGATTTACACTTCTGTTCCTGTGATTATAACCCAAAGCATTTCTTAACACTTCTATTACTTACACAAATATTCAATTTCATTTTACTGTGTATTAGAGTATAACATTTTTATTATCTAAAATAAAATATTTAATTTTTTCTGTGTGACTAATATATTTTTCTGTTTGTTCAAATTGAGTATGACATCTAGAACAGCTTCTGCCTACACTGTATTTCAACTGTTATTCGATCCAATTGTATATGTTAACACTGGTGTATTGCAAGGCAACCTAGTACCTAAAAATTTGAATTTACAAAGAAGATAAATTTGAAAGTAATTATTTGATTTACAAAATAAATTTGTGTTTTCAAAAAGAATTCTTTTAGCATGCTCGCGTAAAAATACTTGTTTGAAGGGAAGTGAGGTTTATACACTAGGTTTTAAAAAGTGATAGAAACCCAAATCAAGCCAGCTTGAGCAAAAAGAAAGGAATTTGCTTTTTTTGGCTTCCATGGTCAAAGTTCAGGAAGAGCCAAACAACACCATCGGAACTCATCTCTCAGGCAAACTTCAAACGCAGAGAGCTGGAAACACCCAGCACATGCCCTACAACTCAGTGACTGGAGAGTTCCACTTTGAAAAACCTAGAAGGAAGTATCCAAAGCAAGCAGCTAGGGTAACGGCCGGCAGAAGGGTCCCGAGAGCGATGCGGGTTCGCGTAGCGGGCTTCTTCCCTGAGGACCTGTGAGCAAATACCCCACCTCTGGGAAATTCAGCTTCCCTTGAGCCAGCCCGCTCAGGCTGATCTTTGTTGTCATAAATGTCTGCTTAAGCGGAAAGCAAAGTAACACCTTGGGAAAGTGGGTACATGAAAGATAGCCCAGAAATTAATTTTAGGTACATTTCATTTTCTCCAACCAGAAATCTTTTACCAAAATTAGAGTCAAATGAACTAGATTTGAGGGTGAGCCATAATGTTTCTAAAAGGCCCTAAATAATTTGAAAACTCCGCCTTTGTGTTTAAAATGGCGTGCCATCTATATTTCAGATGTCAGTTGTCAGTCCACGTCATCTCACCTCAGCCCCACTCTCACATCTGTGGTGTGCAGACAGAGTAAAACCCTTCTCTTTGCTGTGGGCCTTTGATTTCTTTAAAAACAAGAACATTTCTAGCAATGGCTTTCTCTCTGGAATCTACCTCTGGCATTCCACAGCACAGCCTCACCAATCCTTATACGGCCAGTCATGTCTCTACCTTAAGTTTGCAGTTTCTGCTTGAGAACCTCAGACTGTAGGGCCCTGGGGAGGGGTTGTAGCGTCTGTCCACCGACACCCACAAGAGGCTGAGCATTGGTATCCTTAAACAGAGAGCAGTAAGCTTGGTCTTGTGCATATCACAGGGATGCAGATGACTGTTTTTAGGCCAACACTCTCAGGAATAAGTTGAAATATGTGGGCATTTTACAAGACTCTAACTTTTCAGTTTTGGTTTGTTTGGTTTTTGGGTTTTTTTGCGTATACTCTGTTTCAGTAAATCCTAATCAGTTGTTTTGAAGTCCCAGGTCAGCTTAATATTAAAGCCCAGGAAGCTTCATGCACAGTTTCAGCTTAGTGTGTCATTTCTGAAGTTACTGCCTTTAAAGGTTTTTGGGTTTTTTTTAAACTTTCCTCCTCAGCCATCTAGATTCGACAACACCCATTCTCCCAGGAGAAAAGAAATAGCTGCTTAGTGGCATCGTGTCCCAGCAGGAAAGTCAGTGTCTGCATAACACAGTGTATTTTTTACTATTTCTCTTTAATTTTACAGTAGTTTATGGTTTGGATGAACCTCACAGCATCCCAAGCAATGCTGTGGCAGTTTCTCTCAAACCTCAAGAACTGCTTTCTGTGAAAACCTCGATGGTTTCAGACTTTGTGAGGAAAAGATGGAAGCCAGGAGGTCAAGATGCTCAGTGAACCCATGAGAGCACTTACAATTTTTTTTTTTTACGTTTGTATCATTTGGATGCTTTCAAGTGCAAGTAACATAAAACTAACAGTGGCTTTTGCCTAATGACTTATTTTTTATTGTGAACTAAACGTTTTTTTTAATTAGTTTCAGCGGTACAACACAGTGCACTAGTTATACTTTTTACCCCTCAAAGTGACAAGCCCCCACCCCCAATCCGGCGCCCCACTCACCCCCATATCATACATATCTATTACAAGTCCCTTGACTCCACTCCCACACTGTACTCCACATCCCGTGACTATATATATATATATATATATTCACTTATAGTTGACATACAATAGTATACAACATCAGCTTCAGGTGTACAGTGCAGTGATCAAGCCTCTACCCCTTCCATTAAATGGTCTTCCTTCAGCCTTGGTCACAAACCTGATCACAATATTGCTGCCACAGCTCCAGGCATCACATCCTTACGTGGCAGCATCCAAAGCAAAACGAGAGAGAGGTGTAAAAGGCACTCCTCACAGATCTCCTTTTAATCGGGGAAAAGGCTCTTCCCTCCCACGGAAACTCCCTTATGTCCCATAGGCTAGGCCACATGGCCACCTATGGAAAGACAGGTTGCAAAATGGAATGTTTGGCTTTTTCAGCCCCTATAGTAGGAGGTGGTCAAGGAAGAAGGAGGCTAGAAATAGTTGTTGGGTTGGCATTCAACAGTGTTGGTTACAGTGCTCATGAAAATAAAACCGGCCGCACACTAAAAAGAACCATACAATTAGCTTTAAGTTACCATCCTTTAGTGGCTAGAAACAGCTCAGAATGTCCTTTCCCTTTTAATAACGTGGGCAGTTTTATTCCCTGTCACATAATATTTTTACTGGCTCTCCAACCAAATCTTCAATTCCTTTTTTTTTTTTTAAACTACTTTCCAGAATTATACTGTTGTTCTGGATTAATTTGCATGCTTGGTGGGGGGGGGGCAGAATTAATTGACAAATTCACATACACGCGGGTATTTCTCAGAACTTCTCAGTATACAGGGTTATATGTCCTTAGCTTTGCCATATTATTTGAGCCATAGCACAGCATACCCCAAGCACCACTCCCCTCACCTTCAAAGCAGCACGGGAGCCTTCCCACGGATCCTGCACCCTCAGCACCCACAGGTTTATTTTTGCCTCAGTTGCCTTAAGCTGCAAGACAAAAGCATGTTTCCTGCACACCGTCTCTCTTCCTCCTTTCCCAGCTTCCTGCTTTCCTCTTTACTAACTGTCTCTTCCAAGAATAACTCAGAACATAGATCCTTGATCTGAAATTCACATGGTTGCAGGAAGTAGTGTAAAAAGTAAGTCCACATTTGGTAGAATTCGAGCTCAGGGAGGGATGACTGGGCACAGCCAGTGGTCCTGGGGCTTTCAGGGTGGTGGACCTAGAAGGCATCATGTTCTGTGCCGAACAATATGGCCTTTGTCTGACGCTGTAAATTACTGATGTATCCAATTCCTGCATGCAACAGAGTACCTGCAGAAAGTCTGCTTATGATGCATGTATGCAATTAAATCACAAGGTCAGGCACTCATGAAAACAAAAAGCTGTTGAAACAAACATGGTCCGTCAGTTCGGCGTTTCCTCCATGAATATGTCTGTGAAGGCCCTGGCTTGGTTATTGCACCAGCAAGTGCTATTAGACAATCAGTAGCAAGTCCCCAAAGTTTAAGAAAACTCTAAGGGAAAAAGTGTAAGATGGAGATTAAGTCTATTAACGTCTTCCTGCCAATTAAAAAAATCATGATTATTTTGTTTTAGCAGCATAATATCTTGCTCTGGTTGTTAAACACCAGTTTTTAGAGACAGATAATTTCACAACCACTAATATGATGAGACGGACGCCTGGGGTTCAGCTCCCAGCCTTGCTACTTTAAACCATTTAATCTTGCCAATCCTTAGTTCCTTCCTTTCTAAAATAATAACAATAATAATGGGAATAAGTATAGTGCTTTTGTTTACTGTGTTCCAGGCACTTTCCACAGTCCTTGTGTGCTCACTGAATCTTCATCACATCGTATGAAGTAAGTACCATAGTGATCACTATTTTACACATGAGGAAATCAAAGCAGAAAGAATTGAAATACCATGCCCAAGAGCACCAGCCACTAAGTGGTGACTCCAGATTCAAACCCAAGCATTCTGACTCCCAGGAATAGAGCCTACCCAGCTGATGGCACTGGGTAAGACTCAAATGAGGTCAAATACATGGAAATGTTTTGTAAACTATAAAACCATACATGCATAGGAAACAGTGCAGTCCGTGTACCATAACTGGAATCACTTACTAGTAATTACTGTAATATTACTTATACCACCACCCAAACAAGTCAATTTCCCTTAGTATACTCCCCAGCATCCACCCCAGAGTACCAAGATAGATGAATTGAATGAGAAAGATGCAATATCCTAGGAAACGAATATAATCCTTTGAACATCTAGGATATAGATTGTAGTAGGTACTGAAGGAATAAGATAACCTGTAGGAAACCAGCATAACCTCTCAAGTGTTACACGACACCAGCCCTTCCTGTAAATCCCAGGTGAGTGTTCCTAATTTTATTTGGAGGTCTTTTATATAAAGGGATTGATGTTGACACGAAGCCCACTGTCTAAGCCTAAGATTCATCCAAAGTTTAGTTAGGCCTTAAATAATTCCTTATTGTTTAGTTTGGTACCCTTTTTTTGTGTGTGTGATGCTATAATTAACGAAGATATTTCATTCTTAATCGGCAAACTCAACCATCTGTATGTAGCACTGCATGAAAAAATTAAAAAATTTCAGCTGCTTTTCAAACGTTTCCCAGAAAGCTGGGCTACCAATGACAGCACCCTTGGGGACATTTACATCTCATTCACATTCATTTTATTTGTATAAAACCCTTCTTGCCTGATCACAGCTTTCGTGGCTCCCAAGTCCCCATCTCTTCTCAAGCAAAGCAGGACTTCAGATCTCAAAGAGGTGGGAGAAAGAATGGCACACTTGCAGGGCACACCATGCTTTTCGCCCCAATCTCTTGTGTGTTGAAAAAAATTATATATTATTAACAATATATACACACATACAACTTCACTAGAATAGGCGAATCCTCAGACAGAAAGTAGATTGATAGTTGCTCAGGGCTGGGAGGTGGTGCAAATGGAAAGTGAGTGCTAATAGG